GACCTCCACAGATTGTAACAAGATTCTATTGGCATAATTAAAGAATGCTCTTCAGTATTTATCTATCTTCTATCATCCATCTATTTATCTATGTATCTATCTTGTATCATCCATTTATTATCTATCAGTAGATAGATATCTAGATATCTAACATCTACCTTCTATCTATCTATCTATCCGTCTGTCTGTCTATTTGTCTGTCTATCTGCATTTCCTACAGAAAACTATAAGCACATAGATGGAAACTCAGTATTGCAAGGTCTTTACCAGGCTTCTCAGTGAATAATTCTTTTTAACAATTATTACATTTCAAAGGCCATCTGGGAAGATGAATGCCTCATTCACATTTCTGTTAAACAACTTTCAGATCCCAGAAATTCTTTTAAGTCCACTCTAAATCTGATTTCCTCTTCTGGCATGGGAACAAGAGTTTTAGAAACTAGACCAAACTCTAGTAGTTCTACAAATCAGGTCTGGTTATTCACCCACACATGCCAAATGAAGAGATGTGGCAAAAGGTAGAGAAAGGAGACTACATGGCAGCCAGGGAAGATAGCGTTCCTCAGTATTACTCCAGCCATCCTCAGGGTTCAAACATGAGCTTTAAGTTTTATAGACAAAGGATTTGGGGGTCAGGGAAGAGATGTATGCATGATTGTTAAACAATCCCAGCCATAGATGTGGCCGGTTGGTCATTATCTCAGTCCTTGTTTCTGCAGGGGTTCTAGGAAAGTTGTAATCATCACACAGTTTGGAGAGAAAGGGACACGTTTGTCACTGTCGCTGGTTTCTGAGATTTTGGTTATTCTCTTCCTTTGGGGCAGTTTCACCTTTGGCTACAGGATGTTAAAAGGCTTACCGTGGAAAGGTCAGCTTGGTGGTGTCACAGGATTTCATCAGTAAATTCTGTCCTTCCTAGAGCCCCAGGTAACTACAAAGGGACTTCAGGGAAGAAAGTTTCAGAGCAAAGGACACCAAAAATGGGGGCTGTGAGCCCAGGTTTTATCCCGCTCTGAGTTAATTCTTGGGCCCACGTAAGGAGTTGCTGCTCTTCCCTGGTTTTAAGAACCTCTTACAGAATCAGAAAAATAATATGCAGGTACTGAAGCCTGCTTAGCTTTCTTGCTCCAGGCTGGCCCTCTACCATTTGAGCCACAGCCCATATCTAGCTTTTTACTGGTTCACTGGGGAGAAGAGTCTCATGGACTTTTATAACCTGGCAGGCTCCAAAACAAAACCCCAGACCTCAGCCTCCTGATTAGCTAGAATTATAGGTGTCCAGCAATAAAATAATTTAGTAAATATTAACTGGTCAGCATTACTTTTTTATTCTTTTAGTTTCCTCTGTGTGTGTGTGTGTGTGTGTGTGTTGTGTTTGTATGTGTGTTGAGAATTAAACCCAGGGTTTAATATATACTAGGCAAGCATTATACCATAAAGCTAAATTTCTACCTATCAGCACATCTTCTTTATTTTTGTCTTCTTTTTATTTTCTTTTTTACAAGAAATCCATGATTATTGCATTAAAAGTAAACTTTAAGATAGCTTTTATTATTAGTCATTCAGATTTGTATGTGTAGACACATATAGCATAATATATTTTCTTCCCATGACAGTATGCAAAAAGAAATGCATTCATCAGTGACATTAACATCTTGATAAATAGCTCCAAGTGAATACAGTATTATAACTATGCTTCAGAGCAAGAAATTGCCTCCTGTTCCCACATCCAGCCATTATTCTCTCTATTCTTCCCAAATGAGATTATTCCTTGAATGTCTAATATTGTATATTAGTTGTTGTTTATTTGTTTTGTTTTGCCCATCATGGGGCTTGAACTCAGGGCCTGGGTTCTGTCCCTGAGCTCTTTTGCTCAAGTTTAGCACTTTGAGCCACTTCCAGTTTTCTGGTGATTAATTGGAGTTAAGAGTCTCATGGACTTTTCTGCCCAGGTTAGATCCTTAGATCTCAACCTCCTGAGTAGCTAGGATGACAGGTGTGAGCCACCACCAGGTTCCGTTTTTTTTTGTTTGTTTGTTTGTTTTTGTTTTGTTTTGTTTTGTTTTTGTTTGTTTTTTTTGGGTCCGGTCATGGGGACTGAACTCTGGGCCTGTGCGCTGTCCCTCAGCTCTTCAGCTCAAGGCTAGCGCTCTATCACTTGAGCCACAGTGCCACTTCCGGCTTTTTTCTTTTTTGCTTATGTGGTGCTGAGGAATTGAACCCAGGGCCTCAGGCATACAAGGCAAGCGCTCTACGACTGAGCCACCCTTCCAGCCCCCTTCTTTTTTATTTTTGGCGTGGGGCTTGAACTCTGGGCCTGGGTACTGTCCTTCATTTCTTCAGCTCAAGGCTAACACTCTACTACTTGAGCCACAGCACCACTTTTGGTTTTCTGGTGGTTAATTGGAGGTAAGAGTCTCTTGGACTTTCCTGCCCAAGCTGGCTTTGAACTGTGATCCTCAGATCTCACCTTCTGAGTATGTAGGATTACAGGCGTGAGCCACTGGCACCCAGCTCTGGCTCTGGTTTTTATAAGTAAAGGCATAGAGTAGTCATTTGCATGTATAGAATTCTTTCATGCCTGAACTTTTTAAATTCAAGATTATGTATTTTCAGTGTATTTGTATACACATGCAGTTTCTTTGTCTATTAAATATATCTTCAGTTGTATTTAATCAGCTCTTAAAACATCCATTTTTTTTCAAAATTAAAATTATTGTTTTTCCTTCTAGAATTTTCACTTGATTCTTTTTAGAGTATGAACATTGTCTCAGAATTCTTTATCTATCATTAATTTCCTAAATACATCATCTATTTTGTTGATTATTCTGATCATACCAACATCTTCTATGAATTGTTATTACATACTTTTCTTGGTTTTCTGTCAAATGTCACCTATTTGCATGGCCGGTTTTATTTTTGCAAGTTCTCTTCCCCAAAGTCAGGTTATGGCGGGGGATGCAGCTCAGCAGCAGAGTGCTTGCTTGATATGTACATGGGTTTGATTCCTATCCCTATGAAAAACAACTTGGCCTTATTCCTTGAGAGTCAGTCTATTCTGGATCATTCTTATGTGCAGGCCTGGAGTGCTCTGTGGTCCCATTGAAAGGCCTAGATTGTAGAGAGAAAAATCTAAACTTTGCCTACCCAGCCCTATCAAAGTGTCTTTTTTTTTTTTTTTTTCCGATCTGTTGATCATGGGGCCTAGGCGCTGTCCCTGAGTTCTTCAGCCCAAGGCTAGTGCTTTACCACTTCAGCCCAAGGCTAGTGCTTTACCACTTGAGCCACAGCACCTCTTCTGGGTTTAATTGAGGACTAGAGTCTCATGGACTTTCTTGCTCGGGCTGGCTTTGAGACATAATCCTCAGATCTCAGCCTCCTAAGTAGCTAGGATTACAGGCGTGAGCCACTGACATCCAGCTTGTCTGACATCCAGCTTGTCTAGTCATTCTTTATGGCATCATTATTAGATGTAGAATATTCTGCATATACTCTGATGAAAAACAGTATTATAAAATATACATTTACCTCTCACATATGAGATATATTAATACCTATAATTAGCATGCCAATATTAATTTTCACAATAATTTTACACTGCTACATAGAATGTATACCATTCTAGGAGTATATCATAATTTTTAGTCAAACACTTATAATTGGATATTTCAGCTGTTTCTATTTTTCCTCTTATGACTGCAACATGATCTCATATATATATATATAATTCCTAAATTGTAATTATTTCCTAAGTATAATATTCTGAAATAAAAGTATAATGTCAAAAAGGATGCATACTTGATGGCTTTTGTTATATTACTAAAGATCCCTCTAGGAAAATCATACCCTTTTACATTTCTATCAGAACTATATAACTGCTAGTTTTCTTTTTTTTTTGGGTCCGGTCGTGGGGCCTGAACTCTGGGCCTGGGCACTGTCCCTCAGCTCTTCAACTCAGGGCTAGCACTCTACCACTTGAGCCACAGCGCCACTTTCCGGCTTTTTCTTTTTGCTTATGTGGTGCTGAGGAATCGAACCCAGGGCCTCATGCATGCAAGGTAAGTGCTCTACCACTGAGCCACCTTCCCAGCCCAACTGCTAGTTTTCTTACATAAGGATTTTCTTTCTTTTCTTTTTTTGGTCAATTGTGGGTCTTGAACTCTGTGCCTGTGCGCTGTCCCTGAGCTCTTCAACTCAAGGTGAGCACTCTACCACTTGAGCCACAGCGCCACTTCTGGTGGTTAATTGGACATAAGAGTCTCTCAGACTTTCCTGCCCAGGCTGGCTTTGAACTATGATCCTCAGATCTCAGCCTCCTGAATAGCCAGAATTACAAGTGTGAGCCACTGGCGCCCAGCAAGGATTTTTTAAATTATAAAATTCTAATTTTCCAACTTATCTATGTCTGACTTAGAAGTAAACAAGCATTTACTAAATGATGTGTGTGTGTGTTGGTCTTGGGACCTGAATTCAGGCACAGACCTTTTTTGTTCAAGATTAGTGCTCTACCACTTGAGCGACAGCTCCACTTCCAGCTTTTTATGGTTAATTGCAGGTAATCATCTTATGGACTTTTACTGCTTGGGCTGCCTTCAAACTCAGAGATCTGCCTCAGATCTCTGTCTCTTTGTATCTTAGATGAGCCACTGGCACCTAGGTAAATGATTCTTCTGTGATTTCATACTGAGAACATTCTGTGTGTCTGTGTCTGTGTGTGCATATGCGCATGTACCAGTACTTGGACTTGAACTCAGGGACTTAGGTTTTTCTTAGCTTTTCCACTCAAGGTTGATGCTCTACTACACCTCGACTTCTGACTTTTTGTTGGTTAAATAGACATGAGTCTCATGGCTTTCTCTGCTCAGGCTAGCTTCAAACCATGATTCTCACATCTCAGTCTGCTAAATAGCTAGGATTATAAGCAGGAGGCACCAGCACCTGGCTGAAAATATTATTGAGATAACAAGGAAATGAACTACACATGAACTCTGTCCTTACAGAGCCCATGAGTCCTCACAGATGTTTTCCTGATTGTCTTTTGGGATGAAGGTTCACTGAGAATAGTCCTGGACAGCCTGGATCCTTTGTACAGAGGTTTGTCTCCTCATGATCTCAGCAGTTGTGTATGTATTTTGGACTCTACCTTTATCTTGGACTATAATAATGTATTATGGAGTTATTTATGGCCACAGTCAAGGATGGCATATTGATCTTTGTTGACTTTGCCTATCCAAGTTGGATAGCTATAGTTTCGTATTCCTCCTTCATGTGCTTCCTTCAACTTGTTCAGAGTTTAAACAATATTTAACAGTTCTGACCACTTAGCCAACTTACCAAGATCAGTAGTCAACACACTATGGCCTCATCTACAAATCTGGCCTGCCACCTGTTGGTTTAAATAAAGTTTTATTGGAATACAGTCATGCTCATTTGTGTATACACAGTCTATATCTGCTTTGGTGATGTAATTGTAAAGCTAAAATTTAAATTATTTACTACCTGGTTATTCCAGAAAAAGTATGTCAACTTTGATCAAAGGGCTAGACATCTGTAATACTATGAGAAAATCCTACTGGATATATTAACAATCCTCTGAATGATATTGGTAAATGGTTCAGAAGAGAAACTCAGTGAAATAAAAGTAGTATTTATTCATGATGATCAATTAAATTATTTACTTAATTTGAGGAAACTAACTACTATCATAACTCAATTTGTGTGTAACTCAAATCTGACATGAGGTGAAAGGAGAGAGCCTGAGTCTACCTGTGGAATATGTTGGGTTTATTTTCAGTGCTTGAAGACACATTCAAAGGTATTGGTTGGGGAAGACGCCATAATTTTAAGTTAACCTGCATGCTATAAATGTGCTTTGTGTTTAAATAAAGAGAAAAATTTTTGAAATGAAAAAAAAAAAATCCTGGGCTTATAAAGATTTTCTTTTCAAGGCCACATTAAACAGCTGCCCAGGAACCTCCACCCCTACCTTGACTGTTAATGCCGAGGCCTTTTGTCTGCTCAGTATCACTTTATTTAGGACACACCCATTCTCCTTTTCTGTACTCACTCTCTGTTTTGGATACAGGTAACTCTCCTCCCACACAGGGCCCAGGCCAATCAGAGCCTTCCCTGTGATTTTGGTCAATCATGAAAGATGATTCTTTTTACATCTCAGTCTCAGCTTGTTGGGATGATAAAGACCCAAGGCTGACTGAACCATTCTGCTTCCCCACAGAAAGAACCCTGCTAACTACAAATACAAGGCAGGGTCTAGCTATGTGGCCACATTGGCCTAGACTTGGAAAGTCTCCTGCCTCTGCCTCCCAAGTGCTGGAATTATAGATGTGTGCCACCATGCCAGGAACGTCTTCAAATTTTCATCTTAAAACTTGACAACAGCTGGTATAGATGACTCAAACCTGTAGTCTAACTACTTGGAAAGCTGAGATCTGAGGATCATGGTTCCAAGCCAACTGGAAGTAGAGCTGTGGCTCAAGTGGTAGAACACTGGCCTTGAGCAAAAAAAAGCTTAAGGACAGCACCCAGGTCCTGAGTTCAAGCTCTAAGTCTGACACAAAACAAACAAAAAACCCTTGACAACAGACAACCAGAACAAAAACAAACAAAAAAATAACTGTTGACTGTGGCTGATTTAAAACCTTTGGACTCCCAGTTATACAAAACAACACATTACTTTTTCTGCTCATGCTAGTTTGGACAGAGTTTCTGTTATAGACAAAATCAAAAGTTGGCAGGGAAGTGTAACTGCCAGGGGTCAGAGGAGAACTGATGTAAGTACCTGGCCTGGGTAAGGTAGAGTGGAAGGCAAAAGGAATCCCCATCTGAAAATTGGTGATCCTTCATCCAAACAAACGCTGATCGGAAGCAAGCTGGTTCACCAACTTAGGAGCTAGATCATTTAGTCTTTGGACTCATCAGGTGTAGACATGGGTTTTTATGACCATGTCTCTATACCTCTGTAAAAGGTGCAGATTATTTGTAAGGCAAATTGGTGAAGCCTGACAGGAAGCTCAGCCTAGAAAGGCTAGGCCAAGGGGCACTGGTTCTTCTGTGGCCTTTGGTGAGCTGTAAGAAGCAGCAGGCAAGCACCAAGCCCCTTAAGAAGCCATGCAGTCTTGCTCAGGGAGGACCTTCTAGTCTGTGCCAACAATCCCAAATGAAAAGAAGTGTGCTTGCTGAAGAAGACACAAGATATACCAACTCTCCTAAGTTAAAGTGAGTGACAGCAAGTCAGAGAGGCAGGGTACACCTGAGAAATCACTCTGAACTCAGGCGGGCCTCTGGGTGTGTACTTAGAAGGGCAAGGCCCTGGACCTGCCTTTCTAGTTTGCTTTTTGCTATCTTGAAATTATTAATACCTATCCAGGTACCAGTAGGTCACACCTATAATCCTAGCTACTCAGGAGGCTGAGACCTGGAAGATGGAGGTTTGAAGTCAGCCTAGACAGAAAAGTTTGTGAGATGCCATCTCTGATTTACCAGTAAAAAGCTGAATGGAGCTAGGCGCTGGTGGCTCATACCTGTAATCCTAGCTATTCAGAAGACTGAGATCTAAGGATTGCAGTTCAAAGCTAGCCTAGGCAAAACTCTTAAATTGACCAGAAAAAAAAAAAAAAAAGCACTCCCATTTGGGGGTTAGAAGCTTATAGCACAGGCCAATGAGCAAAAGAATCAAATACCCAGTTCAAGTCCTGGGCTAGGCTGGGGTGGGGAGGGAGTGAGTGGGGAGGGAGATTGGGTTGGAGGAGGGTAGGGGGAGGTAGGGAGAGGGGACTGGAAGTGGAACTGTAGCTCAAGTGGTAGACTGCTAGCTAGCCTCAGGCACAAAAGCTCAGGGACAGTGCCCAGGCCCTGAGTTCAAGCCCCAGCACCAATACACACACACACACACACACACCCCAAAGCTGAACTGGAAGCATGATGCAGGTGGTAAAGTGCTATCCATGAGCAAGAACACCTAGAACAAGAGACCCTGTGTTCAAAACTCTAGTATTGACACACACATTTTACTAATACCCCTTGAACAAAGAGTGCTACATTATCATTTTGTTCTGGGTATGTAGTGGGTCTTGCCTGGTAGTCAGAGAACTGCGTGACCCTCATCCTCCTCAGCTCCTCTCTTGTCACACTGAACATTCTTCTTACTGAGATTTTCTCCCAATTCTACTACCTAGGCCCTGGGGAGAGGCTAGCCTGGTCAGTCAGTTCAGTCCCTTTCTTCAGAGGAAAAGAACCCCTGGAAAGAATTAAGACCAAGAAACGTAAGGACAGAGTGCTGAGCAATCAATAAGATTTAGTTGAGAAACTGGGCCCTACAGTGGGTGGCTTGGATTTCCACTTAGGAATTCAAGAGAATTATGTCAGTAGGGCAATCACAAGACCGCTTAATCCTTAAAACCATGGTTTCCAAATTCTGCCCCTAGGTGCTACAGAGAGTTCAGAGGCACCAGATGTCATCTTAAATTTTCTAGACAACACAGAGAGACTGACTAAACAGCTGTCAGACACCACGCTGACAGGTACTTTGGTTTTGATATTAATTCATGCTCTATATTTTGCAATGATGTCATGCTATTTGCTAAGTGGTGGCTATATTTTTTGGCAGTTGCTGTGATAAAATGCCACAAAAGTTAATCAGTGGAGAACAAAAAATCAAAGTGGCAATGACCATCCTGATTCTAAAGTTGAGAGTTGTGTGTACCTGACCAATCGGAATGCCTGTCCTATGAGTCACTGTGAGTGCTTAGGAATAAAACGAATGCGTTATTTTTTGTTGTTGTTGGTTTGTTTTGTTGTCGGTCATGGGGCTTGAATTCTGGGCTTGGGCGTTGTCCCTGAGCTCTTCAGCTCAAGGCGAGCACTCTACCACTTGAGCCACAGCACCACTTCCGGTTTTCTAGTGGTTTATTGGAGATAAGAGTCTTCACGGACTTTCCTGCCCCAGTGGCTTTGAACCATGATCCTCAGATCTCAGCCTCCTGAGTAGCTAGGATTACAGGCCTGAGCCACTGGCACCTGGCAAATGCTTTATTTTTTAATTTATAAAATTCTTTCTTCGAATGGGTCTAAGTTATTAAGAAATGTACATTATACTTTTTGAGCTTTTTCAATCAAGGTTAGTGCTCTACTACATGAGCCACAGCTCCACTTCCAGCATTTTGCTGGTTAATTGTTGACAAGAGTCTCATGGAATTTCCTGCCCAGGCTGGCTTTGAATCTCGATTCTCAGATCTCAGCCTACTTAGTAGCTGGGATTACAGGCATGAGCCACCAGCACCAGGCTTTATTCCAAGTTCTTTAAAGTACATCCTCCCCTGGATATACTTGAAGTGGAAATGAAAATCATTTCCTGCAGTTTGTCTTCCTTGTCAGCAAACAGGGCCAAGAGATTCTAAACAGGGGTGCTGCGGTCCTCGGCTGTGGGGGGGGGGTGACGTCACCCTTCTGAGATGACTTCATTTATGCCCTTTCTGGATGTGTGTCTGAAAGCAAACCCAACTTGAGGGGGGCAGGGCTGAGGGGAGATGGGGGGGAGGGAAGAAGGGAGGGTAGGAAGCCCACACATACAGTATACAGCGCTCGCTCGACAAGTCCTGTGTGTGGAAGCCTTTAGAAGCTGATTGGCAGGGTCAAGTGGTCACAGTTCAGAAGGCAATGAGCCCTATGAATTGGCTCTTTGCTAAGGAAAATCTCACATGAGAATATTACTGGTGAGTCTGCTCTAGTAAATTTTTCTAATTTTTTTTTTTTTTTTGGTGGGTTGTGGGGCTTGAACTCTGGGCCTGGGCGCTGTCCCTCAGCTCTTCAGCTCAAGGCAAGTGCTCTACCACTTGAGCCACATCACCACTTCTGGTTTTCTGAGTGGTTTATTGAAGATAAGAGTCTCACAGAGGGCTGGGAAGGTGGCTCAGTGGTAGAGCGCTTGCCTTGCATGCTCAAGGCCCTGGGTTCGATTCCTCAGCACCACATAAGCAAAAAGAAAAAAGCCAGAAGTGGTGCTGTGGCTCAAGTGGTAGAGCACTAGCCTTGAGCTGAAGAGCTGAGGGACAGTGCCCAGGCCCAGAGTTCAGGCCCCACGACTGGACCAAAAAAAAATAAAAAAAAAAGAGTCTCACAGATTTTCCTGCTTGGGCTGGCTTTGAGCTGTGATCCTCAGATCTCAGCCTCCTGAGTAGTTAGGATTACAGGCATGAGCCACCGACGCCCATCTAAGTAAGTTCTTTAGCATGCAGAGAACTCTCAGAGGGCATGTGGGGGACCACCCACCACCACCTCCCCCAGACTGGAGGCTCAGCTCCCCACTCTCCTGGTTCCGTGTACTTCCAAGTATAGCAGTAGCCAGGAGCCAAGGACGCAGAGGAGAGAAGGAGCTTGAAATGATGTTTTGCCTGCAATATGTCTACAGCGCCACAGAACTAAACTCTTCCCTGGCAGGCGGTGCCATCTACTCTAGGTGATTGTGTCTATGGAGAAGTGCTTTATGAAGCCAATGCCTGTTGTTTATCTGGAGACTAGGGGTCAGACAATGGTCTGGGCTGTGCAATTTTGGTAGCACTTGAGGACTCTGCCACAGGAAGTATGAGGCAACAAAACCCCACAGACATGCACAAGGAGAGAGTCCAGGGTGGGGTGAGGAAGCTCTCACTCCTGGAGCTAAGCCTGAGGAAACACAGGAAGGGGGCCTGATCAGAAACCCCTAGAGTGAGAGGCGTGTAAAGGAATGAGTTGGGTCCAGTCCCAGACCAACTACCCAGAATGGGGCTGTGTTTAGACAGGGTCTTTAGAGGAGAAAGGAAGGTAAAATGAAGGGTTGTGCTTGGCCCAAATCCAATCTGACTGGTTTCCTTCTGAAAGGGGAAGATTAGGACACAGACACACAGAAGGCAGAGCGTACAAGACAAGATGGCTGTATGGAAGCCCGAGAAGAAATCAGTAGTGACACCTGGATCTCAAGTTCTAGCCTCTGGAACCAAAAGGAACAGACTTCTGTGCTCGTCTGTTATGGGGTCCCCAGCAAACAAATAGGATGAAAAAACATACAAACAAAAAGCTAGCTGAGTGCTGGTAGCTCAAGCCTGTAACCCTAGCTCCTCAGGAGACTGAGACCTGAGGATCAAGGTGTGAAGCCAGACTGGGCTGGGAAAGTCTGTAAGATTCTTATTCTAATTAACTACCCCAATGCTGGAAGTGGAGGAGCAGCATCAGCCTTGAGTAAAAAGCCAGGCAAGAGTGCAAGGATCTGAGTTCAAGCCTCAGTACTGGCACCAAAACACAAAACAAAACCTGGACTTAGAATGATATTCTGTCAGAGCCCTCCCTCCAGATTCTCCTGCTCCTCAATGTAGTTGATGTCTGTTCCTTTCTCTTGCCACCACAAAGACGAGATGTGATTCTTTATACTGATGCTAATAATTAGTCCTCACTTACTAGACATGTGTAGAAATTTGCCAAGCTTTCTGTTACTTCTCCCAGCTACTCTTGGTATTTCAAGTTCACCGTGTAAGTCCCTTTCTTTAATCAGTGAATTTAAATTGCTAATGTGCTACTTGTCTAGCTGCTCTTTATCAAATGACATTTGGGGGTGTTTCTTTTCAACTCAGAAAGCCGAGTGAAGGGATTGATTGTTTAATTCTTGTTTTCTGCTGTACGCTTTAAGCTTGGCAGAGACCCGAACTAGTTTAGAGGACATCAATTTACAAGGGCCTCAAACTTGGAAGGACTCTGAGTATGAAGAGGGAAATGTCCCTATGGTCCAGAGTAGATACCAGAATACGATTCATTGCTCAACTAGTGGCTTAACGTGAACACACAGGACAAAGAGGACCAGGGGATGAAAATAATTCAATGCATTCTTATCTCAATGGAGAGCAGAAAATTCACAATCTCTATAGAGGCCTTCAGCATCTCTCCTGGAATTAGGGTAGAATTATGTTGCAGTTAGATATTGGAGGGATAGAGATAAGAGGAAGAGGGGGAGGGGTGATCTATGTCTTTGGTGGCAATGACAGCTATTGTCACTCTAGGTTTAACCCATCATAGCATTGTATATTCCAAAGTTAGGGTTTGTGGGGACAGCTCTCCTCAAATAACTGAGGATATAGTGTTTAGATGCCCAATATTGAACTGCATGTCTAATGTGGAACTGGGATTCAAAAAGGTGTGAACAAGCCAGGCACCAGTGGCTCACATCTATAATCCTAACTACTTAGGAAGCTCAGATCTGAGGATCCCGGTTCAAAGCCAACCTGGGCAGAAAAGTCTGAGAGACTGTATAGTCAATTAATTCCAAAAAGCTTGATTGGGTACAAAATGGAATGCTGCTCACTTTCTTTTCTTTTCTTCTTCTTCTTTTTTTTTTTTTTTTTGGTCGGTCGTGGGGCTTGAACTCTGGGCTTGAGCGCTGTCTCTGGACTCTTCAGCTCAAGGCTAGTGCTCTACCACTTGAGCCACAGTGCCACTTCTGGCTTTTTTCTTTTTGCTTATGTAGTGCTGAGGAATTGAACCCAGAGCCTCATGCATGCAAGGCAAGCACTTTACCACTGTGCCACCTTCCCAGCCCCTCAGTTTTCTGGTGGTTTATTGGAGATAGGAGTCTCAGGGTCTTTCCTGCCTGGCCTGGCTTTGAACCTCGATCCTTAGATCTCAGCCTCCTGAGTAGTTAGGATTACAGGCATGAGCCACCGGCGCCCAGCTGTTGCTCACTTTCTTTTTCTTTTCTTTTTTTTTGGGGGGGGGGTCCAGTCGTGGGGCCTGAACTCTGGGCCTGGGCACTGTCCCTCAGCTCTTCAACTCAAGGCTAGCGCTCTACCACTTGAGCCACAGCGCCACTTCTGGCTTTTTTCTTATGTGGTGCTGAGGAATCGAACCCAGGGCCTCATGCATGCAAGGCAGGCGCTCTACCACTGAGCCACCTTCCCAGCCCTGTTGCTCACTTTCTATGGTAAATAATCATAGCTCATTTCCTCTCCTACCCAGCTCTGCCTTGCAGTCACTGAAGACATTCTCCTTAATTATGGGGATAGGACTGCTAAATCTTGGTGTACATACATCTAGGCTTTTCTATACACACCACACACATACACACATACACATACACTACACTTTACATAGATGAAGTATAGTAGCTTTTGATCAGACTACAATGTATTTTATACCTGGTTGTCCTAACAATGCATAATGAACATATTTCTCCACATTACTAAATGTGTATCCTACTGAAGTGTTTTAATGATCCTATAATATGTATTGCATACTCAATATACTGTTCATTTTATCTGTTAAGACTCTTTTCAGCTCTTCTTAGTTTTCTGATGCTTGTAAATATCACTTTACTAATTAAACTTTTATTTTCAGGGACTGGGATTTTAAATCAGGGCCTTGAACTTGCTCCACTAGCATTCTACCACTTGAGCCATGCCTCAGCACAGCTTTTTTTTCTGGTTACTTTCAGCACAGCTTTTTTTTCTGGTTACTTTGGAGATGAAGTCTCCAGGACTTTTCTGTCCTGGTTCATTTCAAACTGTGATCCTCGGGATCTCAGCACACTTAGTAGTTAGGAATATAGGCCTAGCCCACTCACTGCATGTTGTATTATACGTTCTTATGCATTTCCCGGTTGTTTTCTGAGGACAGGTTACTTGGGGTACAACCTGAGGTTGAAGAGTGTGGATGTGTGCCAAGTGACCATGGCTCCAGCCTGTAATTCCTGTAATCCTAGCTACTCAGGAGGCTGAGATCTGAGGATCTCCAATTAATCAAAGAAAAAGCTGAA